ACGCACAAAAAGCAAACAAAATAAACCGAAACATAAGGACAAGGAAGTAATGGAAACACCGAGCTACCAGAAAGCATAAGATAACATGGCTATAAGAAGACCTCATATTTCAATAATCACCCTAAATGTAAATGGACTAAACTCACCAATAAAAATGTACAAAGTTGCAGATTGGATCAAAAACCAAAACCCAACCATATGCTGCTTCCAGGAGATACATCTCAGCTCCAAAGACAAATGTAGACTCAAAGTGAAAATGTGGAAAATGATATTTCAAGCAAATGGCATTCAGAGAAAAGCAGGAGTAGCGGTACTAATATTGGACAAAATAGACTTCAAAATAAAAAAGGTAAACACTTTATAATGATAAAAGGAGTCATGCACCAAAGACATAACACTTATTCATAAATATACTCTCAATAATGGAGCCCCGAAATATACAAAGCAATTACTAACAGAGCTAAAGGGAGAAACAGACCAAAACACTATCATAGTAGGGGACCTAAATACCCCTCTGTCAGATATGGACAGATTACCCAAACAGAAAATCAACAAGGAAATAACATCCTTAAATGATACATTAGACCAACTGGACATAATTGACATTTACAGAGCCTTCCATCCCCAAACAGCTGCTTATACATTCTTCTCTAGTACACTTGGAACATTCTCAAGATCGACCACATACTGGGACACAGAGATAGCCTCAACAAATATAAAATGGTTGAAATAATACCAAACATATTCTCTGATCATAACGCTTTGAAACTAGAGATCAACTGCAAAAAGAAATCAGGAATAACCACAAATACATGGAGTTTAAACGACATGCTACTGAGGAATAACTGGGTCAGAGAAGAAATAAAAAGAGAGATCAAGAGATACATAGAAATGAATGATAATGATAGTACAACATATCAAAACTTTTGGGACAAAACAAAAGCAGTCATAAGAGGAAAGTTCATATCATTACAGGCCTATCTCCAAAAACAAGAATGAGCCCTAATAAACAACCTAATGCTTCATCAAAAAATTTAGAAAGGGAACAAAAAATGAAGCCTAAAGTCAGCAGAAGGAAGGAAATAAAAATTAGAGCAGAAATAAATGAAATTGAAAACAAAACAAAAAAAAAAAAAAGAGAGAGAGAGAAAGGACACAAACAAAAGCAGTGATGAAAGAAGGGGAAACTATGATAGACACTGCAGAAATACAAAGGATCATACAAGAATACTATGAAAAAGTATATAACACCAAATTTAATAACCTAGAAGAAATGGACCAGTATTTAGAAAGATACGATCTTCCTAGACTTAGTCAAGAAGATCTGGAAAATCTAAATAGACCGATCAGCAGAATGGAAATTAAAACAATCATCAAAATCTACCAAAAATAAAAGTCCAGTTCCAGATGACTTCACCAGTGAATTCTACCAAACATTCAAAGATTTAATACCTATTCTCTCAAACTCTTCCAAAAAATCGAAGAGGAGGCAATACTTCTCAACTCAGTTTATGAGGCCAATATTACTCTGATACCAAAACCTGGAAAAGATAACACACAAAAAGAAAACTACAGACCAATATCTCTCACGAACACATATGCAAAAATCTTAAAGAAGATATGCACGAATCGAATACAGCAACATATTAAAAAGATTATACACCACGATCAAGTGGGCTTCATCCCAGGGGCACAGGGATGGTTCAACATATGCAAAATAGTTAATGTGATACACCACATAAACAAATTAAAAAATAAGAATCATATAATCATATCAATAGATGAAGAAATGGCCTTTGACAAGATACAGCATCCATTTATGCTCAAAACACTTAACAAAATTGGCATTGAAGGAAAGTACCTTAACATAATTAAGGCCATTTATGACAAGCCCTCAGCCAACATTATACTTAATGGTGAAAAACTTAAACCTTCCCTCTAAGATCAGGAACAAGGCTGTCCACTATTACCACTGTTATTCATTATAACATTGGATGTCCTAGCAAGTGCAGTCAGACAAGAGAAAGATATAAAAGACATCCAAATAGGAAACAAAGAAGTCAAACTGTCACTATTTGTGGATGACATGATTCTCTATATAGAACACCCTAAAGACTCCACAAGAACACTACTAGAAACGATAAGCAAATACAGTAAAGTTTCTGGATACAAAACCAACATTCAAAAATCCATAGCGTTCATATACTCTAATAATGAAGTGTCAGAAAAAGAAGTAGAAAAAATAATGCCTTTTGCAAATGCAACAACAACAACAAAATACCTAGGAATAAATTTAATGAAACGTGAAGAACCTACACAATGAAAACTACAAGACTTTATTAAAACAAATCAAAAAAGATACAAAGAAATGGAAAGATATTTTGTGTTCTCAGATTGGAAGAATCAACATAGTTAAAATGATCATATTACCTAAAGCATTATACAGATTTAATGCAACCTTCATCAAAATCACATTGGCAAAGAAATAAAACAAAAAATCATGAAATTTGTGTGGAAGCACAAAGGACCCGGAATAGCCAAAGCCATCCTGAGAAAAAAGAACAAGGTTGGAGGCATTACTTTGCCCAACTTCAAATTATACTACAAAGTGACAGTAATCAAACGGCATGGTATTGGCAGAAAAATGGACACACAGACCAGTGGAACAGAATCAAGAGTCCAGAGGTAAATCCATACAAAGAAGCCAAAAACATACAGTGGAGAAAGGAAAGACTCTTCAATAAATGGTGCTGGGAAAATTGGAAGGCTACCTGCAAAAGAATGAAACTAGACTGTTGTCTATCACCACACACCAAAATTAACTCAAAATGAATTAGTTAAGGATCTGAATATAAGACCTGAAACAATAAAATGCATAGAAGATAACATAGGAATTAAACTGAAGGACCTTGGACTTAAAGAGGATTTTATGAATTTGACCTCAAAGGTAAAGGAACTAAAAGCAAAAATAAATGAATGGGACTACATCAAATTAAAAAGCTTCTGCTCAGTAAAAGAAATTGTCAACAAGGTAAAGAGAGAGCCATCCAAAAAGGAAAATATATTTGCAAGCAATCCTTCCGATAAGGGCCTAATATCCAAAATATACAAAGAACTCATATGACTCAATAACAACAAAAAACAAACAATCCAGTCAAAAATGGGAAGAGGACCTGAACAGACACTTCTCCCTAGAGGACATACAAAGGTCCAACAAATATTTGAAAAGATGCTCAACATTGCTAGCTATTAGGGAGATGTACATCAAAACCACAATGAGATACCATCTCACACCTGTTAGAATGGCTATAATCAACAGGGTAAGTAATAAGAAATGTTGGAGAGGATGCAGAGAAAAAGAACCCTCATACATGCTGGTGGGACTGCAAATTGGTACAGCCACTATGGAAAACAGTATGGAGCTTCTTCAAGAAACTAAGAATTGATCTACCATAAGATCCAGCAATTCTCCTACTGGGTATTTACCACAAAGACTTGAAAACTCATATCTGAAAAGATATTTGCACACCGATGTTCATAGTAGCATTATTCACAGTGGCCAGGACATGGAAGCAACTGAAGTGTCCTACAATAGATGATTGGCTAAAGAATCTGTGGTACATATATACAATGGAATATTACTCAGCCATAAGAAGTGATGAAATACTGCCTTTTGCAACAACATGGATAGACCATGAGATAATCATGCTAATCGAAATAACCCGGACAGAAAAAGTTGAAAATCACATGATATCACTTATATGTGGGATATAAACCTAAAAGCAACAAATGAACAGGACCAACAAACAGAGACTCACGGACGTGGACTATAGACTAGTGGTTACCAGAGGGTAGAGGGTGGTGGAGGAGTGGGGAGGTTGATGGGGTGAAGGAGATCAAATATAGAGGGGTAGGGGGAGGGTGAAGTGGGTAAAGGGAATCAAATATATGGTAGCTAAAGGAAACTGGAGTTTGGGTGGTTAACACAATAGAATATACAGATATCAAATTGTAAGGTACATCTGAAAATTACATAATTGTATTAATCAATGTTACCCCAATAAACTTAATAAAAAATAATAAAATAATAAAACACAAAAATCTGACTTACCAAAAGATCCTGCATCTTCTGAATACCCAGCAGTCTTTAATCGATAATACCTGACTTTTCTTGAAACCTTGTCCTTAGTGTCCCAGAACTTCAAAGTTATTTTGTGAAAATTTATTTTCTTTAGTAATTCCTTTGTCACGTTGATGTTAAAAATTTGAGTCCATGACACCCAGACTTTGTCCCCTTCACGCCATGGCTTCACAGTCTGTGTAAAAGAGTACCAAGACATTTTCAGTGCGAAAAGCCAGGAGGCTCAGCAGTCTAGGAGTACTCACCACAACCAGCCTCACTCTACTGGCAGTGAAGCCAGGCCCTGCTCTCCACCCCTCTGACTTCTGTGTTTGGCTCTCTCTCAGGTTCCAATGCACATTGGGAAATGGATGTCATGGACTGGGCCCTGTCACACCTTTGGATTCCTTGGAAAAAAATTAAGTCAAAGAAATTAACTGCAAATAGTGTCCTTTCCAGTGATTTCAATCCCTGACTGGGCCACAGGCAGGTGTGTGCATGTGTGTGTGTGAAGGGCAGGCAGGTGTGCACACACATATGTATATAAATGCATATACATATGTATTCATATGCACACATAAAGAAATTATAAGAGCTACAAAAAAAAAATTGAAACACCAAAGCAATTATTTGGTAAAAATATCTAAACAGAGAGCCATGTAATTGGTATTTCCAGGAAAAGCAAACACATTTCTTGTAGTATTAGGCTGTATGGTATATGCAAGGCTACACACACACACAAACCTTTACTCCTGAATCCAGAAACACTTTGACCACTGCTGGAAACACCACAATGTCAACTTTTTTAGGCTCTCCATCATCCGGCAGAAGGAAATACTCAATGTGGTAGAAACGGCGAACCTTTGAAACAGGTTTTTCCATTTTAGAGTGTTTCCTATATTTTTCGATCAAACTTATATATTTTCCTTTATGACCTAGAAGATATAGATTTAATGAGCCTTGTTTTCACCTCTCATGAGAAAGCAGACCCATTTCCACAGTTTTCTGTAACCAAGAAAGAGCCCCATGCTGTGGGAGGCCACAAACCTCCACACTGCTAGTAATGTAGGGAGGAGGCAAGAGAATTAAAATGTTAATCAAGCTACAATCAGAGAATGCAATATGATGATCAGCCCTACACCCAGGCCAGGAAGACATCTTCAGAACAAAGGAAGATTTTTGCTGGGATTGCTAACAGCCCATTTCTCACATGGTGAAGGGAAAACAGGAATCAAGAGTTATTCCATATGGCTAAAGCTATGGGGAACCTAAGGATTAAAGGCTGGCAACTGCCAACAGGCCTTTCACTCTACATATTCTTACCTTTTCATGCTACATACTCTTTCTCTTCCTCATTGTATGTCCAAATCAAAGGAAAAGGGAACTAAAGAATGACATATAAACTGAATTCCCTGAGCAATCAGGGTCCCTCTCAGTGCCTTTACTCTGTCTCTTGCACTGTCTCTCTCACTCTCTGCCTCTGAGAGACCACACTCTGATTGTGGAGTGTTACCCCTTTTCTAATAAACTTTCCTTTTGACTCTAACTTTGGCATGTGTGTTTAATTCTTTCTACACTCTCTGCCAAAGAACCCTCTTTTCTCCAAACAGGTCTTGGTCTCCCTACCAACTCAGGGAAATTAGCCCTGTCCTGCATCACTAGCCTCCCTAGTCAGCAAAGTAGCAGGTTACTCTGGACTAGGACTAGGCACCAGGGTGCAAAATTTCAGTGCATGACTCTTTGAGAGTGAGTGTCTCCTTATATTTTTTTCACCTTAGAGGCTTCACCTGCCTCATGCTAGTCTCAGCAGTAAGAAACAGGTAAAAAAGAAAAATCACAGCACAGTGTGATTTGTGTAATACCAACAGCATAAACAAGGTTCTGAAGAGTAACAGAGGAGTTGGAGGTAAACTCTGTCTGGGAGTGGTGTGGGAAGCCCCCAAAGGGACCTCAGCAGAGTCTTGTAGAAGCAAAGTTGGCAGACATTCCAAGAAGAGGTCAGAACTCAGCAAAACCTCATGAATGAAGCTGTACAAAGTGGGATAAATGGGGTGAAAAGATGAAGAAAGTAAGGTTGGGCTTCAGCCAGAGCCCAGGGTCTCTGCCTGCCCTTGACCTTAAACTGAACCCTTCAAGCTTGAGCTTTGCACACAAGAAAATGCTTCAGGAGCTCCATAAATATTTATCCCAAATTTCATTTTATAAAAATATGACTATTATATTTAAATCAGTAGTTTTAAAATTTCAACTTTTAACACCCAAGAGATCACTGGAGACTGCCACTAGAAGAGTGAGCTTTTATGAAGACCTTGGGATAAAGCTTCTCCAGCCAGTCTTTGGTAGTCATTAGAATTTCTTGTGAAGGTGTAACTGATCAGAAAAAGCTTGCTGCATTTTACAAGTCCATGTTCCGATTCAACCCAAGGTGAGCAAGTGGATATGTAGACCCTCTTATCTCCTGTTAATTGGAGTAAAAATTGTTACAACCCCTTTGGTGGGCAATTAGACAATATCTATAAGAAAATGTAAATGTATACAGTAAGTCCTCACTTAATGTCATTGATAGGTCCTGGACTTTAAATGAAACAACATTATTCAAGGACCTGCTATACATTAAATGAAGCAATATCACTTCTTGAAATTCAAGCTACAGAAGTGCCCCCTGCCCCACCACCATGCATAGAAATGTGCATACTAGGAGGGCTAACAGAAAAAAATTGGAAACAACTTAAATGTCCACCAATAAGGAGAACAAGGAAAAGTTAGTGAGTATTCTAAGAAGAGCTTTGCTTCTTGGCAAACTGATTTTCTCCTGCTTCTCCAGGCACATAATAGCATAAAATCTCTCTTCTCTGGCCTAGGTAAGTGCAGCACCTCAAACATAGAGATGCTGTTATTGTTGTTATAAAATTTCTTTCAATTGCAATCTGAGGTTGCTTTATGCTATGGAAATATCTTGCTAAGTAAAATTACAAAGCAGCAGAATTTCTAGTGAAAATCATTTATTTTAAAACGGATCAATCAGTATTGATTATAAATTAGCTACTCATTTTCCCTTGATATCTCCAGTCTGTTCACACACCACTGAATTCTCCTCCCAGATTTGTTTGGTATCAGTGATGTACTGAGCAGAGCAGTGTGCAACAAGCCATTGATGCAATGGCCCACTAGAGGGTGTACTCACCACCACTCCCCACCCCCCGCCCGCTTTATCCTTCCCTCCCTCTGTCTCAGGATAAATTAGAAACATACAATAGAATACTATATAGGCATTTAAAACAAAACAGCAAAATAAAAACAAGTATGCTCATTTCCTCTCAGATATCTAAGACATAGTCAAAAATTTTAAAAGCAAATTGTAGAACAGAATGTTTAGGATCTCATTTCTCTTAAATAAATAACTTATATAAACATTTATAAACAAATCATAAATACTCAGGTATTGGAAGAAAAAAACGCTTATACCCAGCCAAAGATATGTCCTTCAGAGGTATTGTCATGATAAAAAGACCCTAAAAAATAAAATAAATGAACAAACAAAACAGAAATAAACTCATAGATACAGAGAACAAGTTGATAGTTACCAGATGGGAGGGGTTTGAAGAGGTAAAGTGGGCGAAAAAGGTGAAAGGAATTAAGAGGTACATATTGCCAGTTATAAAAATAATCACGGGGATGTAAAGTATAGTACAGAGAATATAGTCAATAATGCTGTAATAACTATGTATAGTGTCAGATGGGTACTAGACTTATTGGGTGAGCACTTTGTAAGAAATATAAACGTTTAATCACTATGTTGTACATCTAAAATTAATGTGATATTGTATGTCAACAATAATTGAAAAATAAATTAATAAAAAAGAATCTCAGGCATACAAGACCTCATAAATTTTTGCTGCACAGAGATCTATTTTGCAAATGCCTTTGGAAAAAGTACCAAAATAAGAAAAAACAAGTCTAAAGATGCTGCAAGAGATGTGAAGGTTAAGGTGATCAAGTAAGCATTGATTTTCTTTTGGTTGGTATTTGCAAAAAGACTTTTTTTCCAGGCTCTTTCACTTGATATCAACAGACCCAAGATAAAAAGCATCATTATGTATAGAGGTCACCACATAAGACAAAAAGTTCAATTCACCAAGAAGACTGATGAGTTCTAAATATGGTGTACACCTAACCAAGTAGCCTCCAAAATATCTGAAGCAACAGTTGACATCTACAAGAAGCTGAAATTAATCATCATGGGCAAGATAGTTTAAGTAGACAAAAAAAAAAAATGTGTCATAAAGTGGAGTACTTTTCTTTGCCCCTAAACTTGGGGTTTCAACCACATGACTTGCTTTGACCAATAAAATGTTAGTTAGCAGGTGGGAAGTGCCCAAAGACTTTAAGAGTGCTTGGGTGACTGGGCTTGCCTCCTGGTGTATCTCTGCCCATACATAATATGTGTCTGGGCTAGCCCACATGAGGAAGATGAGAGACACACGAAGCAGAGCAAGCCACCACAGGGAGCTCAGGCTGGATCAGCTAACCTGCTCATCCAGGAGAACAAAGGATACCTATTTGAAGCTTCTAAATTGGGGAGCTTGTTTGGGTTCGTTACACAGCATTGTTGCAGTAATAGCTAACTGACACATTTTTATACTCAGAGATTCAATGCACCTGAGAATCTATCTGTATTTTAAATAAGGAATTAGGTGATGTATAACCAGCTTATGGGAACCAAGGCTTTAACCTCTCTGTCATCATCTACAAAAAGCAGACATAACATCACCTACTTCTTAGAGTTATTGAGAGGATTAAGTATGTGAAGACCACATAACCACTTGCCTGATCCATAGTGGGCCCCTAAAATTGCAGTTTCTTTCCTGACCTTTGCTCCTGTAATCCGCTACCCTATTGCAGGGAGCCAGTGGAAGGAACATATGTGTCCTAAACTCCTGGGAGAAGGTCATTAGTCCACCCCCTTTTTTGTAGAAAGCATTAGAATTATGCTCTGGCACTTACCAACATTCACTGGGAAGGCCAGTGAGATGATGAATTTGCAGGGGACAACCTGGGGCACGTCAGAGTTGAAAGTGCTGGCAGGCCCTTCTGAGGACTCGATGCTGCTGCACTGGTCAGAATCTGATTCTTGGGCCTGGGTCCTGGCCTTCAGGTACTCCTCAACATCACACTCGCTCATGGACTGGTAAAAGCTGCCCATGGAGGGCATGGGCCCCATGCTTGCCCTGTCCTCATCTTCCCACTCCCAGGCATGCAGTGACATGATGCAGAGTGCCCCACACGCTCAGCACTCCTAGCTGGAAGAAACTAAAAGGCACTTTTGTCACCACTCTCTGCTCTCAGGAGGTAAGCCTTTCCTCTTTCAGGACCACCCACCATTCTCCTCCCTCCCTCCCCTTGTCCTATTCTGGGTTGAATGGCCAAGGCCTTGGACACTGCTTGACACACAGTAGGAATTCAATGAGGTTAGAGAATGAATGGATGAACCACAGAGAATGGTGGCTGGCAGTAATCATGATGTTGAATAACCCCACTTTCTCTAACTTGAGTCTCTGCTTTTCCCCAGCCCCAGTTGCTCCTTCTTTCATGAATCAGAAGTCAATCATTTGTCACTTCTGGAATATCTATCTCAGGTGAGTGCAGTTCTCCAGGAACCACATGGGTTGGAGGAGAATCCCCTATGCTTCCATTAAGGGATGCCTTGGGGAGAGCTGCACCAAAGCATGATGTGCATTTGCCATTTTGGGACAGGAAAACCAGGTCAGGGGACTGACTGTATGTGCAAATGCCTAGTGAGGTTAAGGACAGCAAGAACCCTGAGGCAAGACATGAATGGGCATTGAGGACTGGGCTCAAAGCACAAGGAGGCAGAACCTGGGCTAACACTAAGAAAAAGATACCCAGGATACAGCGTGGGGTGGGGGATGGATGAGGGTGGGACACAAGGACTCCTCAAGGCGCCAACGGTACCTGCTAGCAGATGCACTAGGCAGCAGCCAGGGCTTGGTAGGAGGTGTCGGTCAGCTCGCACACTAACTGCATAGCCGCCTGGACGATGAGGCTCCCGAGGACGTTGTCGGTCCACTCCGGCAAGGGGCCACCTAGACCCCGCAGCGCAACTGTTTTTGACAGTTGCTAGGAAACGGGCGTTGATAAGGCCCTGGACTGGGCTCCACTGGGGGCGGGACTTCCTATCTCAGACCTGCTATACAAACATGGTCTGGCAAATAGGTGTATCCAAATTCGGAAACCAGTGCATTAGTTCATTCATCTGCTTACTCTTCAATCTGTAAGGAATTCCTGCTCTGAACCCGAGCACCTGTAATATGGGTGAAAGGCAAAGGAAGCAATGTGCTTTGTAAACTCCTATCCCCCCATCCCAAACCTCTCTCATATAGACTTTCTGCTTTTGTCACTGATAACCTTAAAATACCTTGAAAATTCTGTTAGTGATTGTGAGCCCCAACTCAGATGATAAAACTGAGGCTTAGACAGGTACTGCGATTTGCTTGAGGTCACACAGCGAGTGTGGAAGCACTGGATTGAAATCCAGACTGACTCTGAAACCTGGGTTCAGCTCTAAAATACTCCCTATTTCCAGCCCCACCCCCAGCTCCATCTCAGCGCTGAGAGAGCCCTGGCTGTTTCTCCCATTGTAGGAGGCCACAAAACACGGAAGGGGATGGACTTAGGGGCACATGGCAGAGGTGACTGGAAGGTGGGGTAAGAGGAAGGCTTCTTGAAGGAGACAAAAACCAAACTTTGGAGTTTGCCAGGTGGTGAAAGCAAGGCAGATGGAACAGATTGGTGAAAGCACCTAGCAAATCAAGGCAAGGGATGATGAGGCTGGAATGGTGGGCAGGGCTTCTGGTCCATAGCATGGAGGACAGGCAGGGCACTAAGACTATGGGCATTAGGTTTTCTGGTCAGAAAGTCACACCATTCAGCAGTAGTTTGTTCAATAGAACGGGAGCTGAGATTCTACACACTCTAAACTGTTGGTGAAACTAAAGCTTTGAGCTGAGATATGACCTACCCATAGTCAAAGAGCAAAACTGTGGCAGAGGCCTCTCTAGCTGCAACCCAGGTACCCTGCCTCCTAGCGCCCACTTCCATAGACCACCTCCAGGGGCTGGAAGCAGCCCCTTCCAGAATTCCACCCATTACCTGGGGCCCTCCACTATTTCTCAGGTTCAATCAATCTTAAAAAAAACAAAAACAAGACTATGCCTCAAACTCTTACCACTAAATGCCATACCACCCTGTCATACCATACCAGCAGCAGCCTGGAGACTACCATCTATAAACCAGGAATTACTAAAGAGATGCACAGAGGATTGGAGGGGAAAAAAAAGGCTACTAGAATATAGCAGCTTTCAAAAGGCCTCATTCACAAGGGCAGGTCATTGATACCTTGAACAGATACCAGGCCTCCTGTTCCTCAGGTCTCACCTGCTGGCCTGAGGCTGGTTTCTCTCCAAAAGATCATTGTAAATCATGTTATTACTGAAGGCAACAGCCAATCACTCCAGCATCTCCTGAGGAGATAGCCCTAAGCTCAGGATTGAGAGGCCATAGGTCTTGGACAAAGAGCCAATGCCGTGTTCTGGATATTCATTAGAATAACCCAGGAAAATGTTAAAACTTCAATTTTGATGCTTTACTTCAGACCTGTGGAATTGATACTCCAGGGTGGGGCTTAAGAACTGGTAACAGATTCTATTTTCCAAAGACCTTTAACATAGGGAGGAGGCAATAGAATTAAAAATGTTAATCAAACTACATTCAGAGACTGCAATGTGTTGATGATCCCTGCAGCCAGGCCAGGAAGACATCTTCAGAACAAAGGAAGATTTTTGCTGGGATTGCTAACAGCCCATTTCCCACACGGTGAAGGGAAAACAGGAACCAAGAGTTGTTCCCTATGGCTAAAGCTATGGGGAACCTAAGGATTAAAGGCTGGCAACTGCCAACAGGCCTTTCACTCTACATATTCTTACCTTTTTATGCTACATACTCTTTCTCTTCCTCATTGTATGTTCATATCAAAGGAAATGGGAACTAAAGAATGATATATAAACTGAATTCCTTGAGCACTCAGAGTCCTTCTCAGTGCCTTTACTCTGTCTCTCTCTGTCTCTTGCAATGTCCCTCTTACTCTCTGCCTCTGAGAGGAGACCACACTCTGTCTGTGGAGTATTACCCCTTTTCTAATAAACTTTCCTTTTGACTCTAACTTTGGCGTGTGTGTTGAATACTTTCTTCACTCTCCGCCAAAGGACCCTCTTATTTTCTTGGAATAGGGTTTGGTCTCCCTGTCACTTGAGGAAATTTGTCCTGTTCTGCATCACCACCACCTCAATAGAGTCCCTCCCACATGTTCTTCTTACAGCGTGATGTCAACACTCCTTATATCTGGTGATGAATCTAGTCTTGTCTCCTTGAATTTTGTGACTATCTCAGCCAATAGAGTCTGGTGGAAGTGACAATATGTGACTTTGTTACCAGAGAGTGAGCTCCTCTCCCGGCGTGTTGTCCAGGTTCTTGATGTCTTGAACAAAGAATTGAGCAAGACACCGAAATATAGTAGAAAAGAAAAGTTTTGTTAGAAAGGAAAGTACACTTCCAGACATGGAAGTGAGCCTGAGCAAGAGAAGCGTGGCTCAAAAGGCCTGGTAACAAAGACTTCAGGGTTTTTATCGCATTTTGCTGTGGGTGGTTACTTTTCTTAGAGGAGTGGACTTCCTTGATTGACAACTAAGATTGACAGGAGTCAGTGATTCATCATTTTGCTTTCTGCACATGTTTGTCCCCAGAATTCAGTCTGTTATAATGATTTTAATGAACTTCTGGGCATATGCATCATATTATAATGATAGTATAATGAGACTCAGGTGAGTTGAAGGTCGTTGGGGTCTTCATTGCACAGGTGCGAGTGACTGGCTTAAACTGGTACCTAAATCTCTGCCTACTGGTTTCTTTGTGTGAGTTAAAAATGCCTTCTGGCTTGCTTAATTGTGGGCAGATTAGGGTGGACCCCTTCTAGGATAGAATGAACTCAGTGTCTTTGCAGGCAGACCTGAAACCCCCTAATTTTCCTGCCTACCTCTTTTCTAAGAGCTATGAACCCCCTATTAGTATGGATGTTGAGGAAAGGGAGGTCTCTTCTTCCGTATCTGCTTCCTGGTGAGAATGGCCATAGTCCCTCCCTACAGGGCTTTCATGGCTCTTTCC